TGTTGTCCTGCTTGATGGTGTCCCACAGGTCCCTTAGGCTCTGTTTGCATTTCTTTAATCTTTTTCTTTCTGTTTCTTAGCCTAGATAATTTCTGTTTCCCTATCTTTAAGTTTATTGATTCTTTCTTCTGCATGCACAACTCTGCCTTTCAGTCTCTCTAATGAATGTGTTGTTTCAGTTATTGTACCTTTTAGCTCCAGAATTTCTTTTTGGTATCTTTTAGGTTTTTTAATCTCTATTTATATTTCCGTTTTGTTCACACATTGTTTTAAAGTCTTTGTCTAATGTAACTGCCATAAATAAAAGTCTTTTCCAGGAACAGTTTCTGTTGATTTGTTTTCCTTTCAATGGTTTATACTTTCCTATTTCTTTTGTGCCTTGTAATTTTTTTGTGGAATATGAATCTAGTACTGAGTCTAACATTTGAGTGTAGTAATGTGGTAACTCTGGAAATAAGATTCTCCACCTTCCAGGGATTGGTGTTTTCTTATTGCTATTTTGGGGTTTTTTTGATTGTTATCAGCTGTCTGTTTCACAGAACACATAACATGTAAGCTTAGTGTCTTAGATATTTAATGAGCCTTTCCTTAGGCATTTGTAGTCACTTTCTAATTTTCCCCCTATAGGCAATTGTTTTTTAGTGACCTTTTAATGTTTGGTTCTTAAAAATGGAAAAGCAAAAAATGAAGTGGGTGTGGGGAGAGGACTAGCCTTTTCAGCTGGAGGTGGGCGTGCTTACAACAATGAGGGGAAAGTGCAGCATCAGTGGCTGCCTGTCTGTCTGTCTCTTGGTCTGCATCTCTGTGATGAGAAACGATAATTAGTGACCAGAGCACAGGTCCCCACTATTTGGAGGAGAAGTTCCTTTCTGCCCACCCTGGCTCCCGTAAGTTGGGTCCAAGCTATTCCAGGAACATGCACACAGCTGTCTACCACATCACTAAGGGTGGTGGATGGGTAGTTGCTACTGTGCTGAGATATAAAATTGACCAAACTTTACTGCAGTTTACCACCCAAGTGTTCCCTTGAAATTTGCAAGCCTTCAACAGACTTCAGAGTTCCAAAGTAGTTGTTTCAAAATCAGATTCTGCCAGTGCAGTTATTGTCTATGTGAGGACTCGGGTAGCTGGTGCTTCCTACTCTGCCATCTTCACAGAATCTTCTCCATGATCTAATTTTGAGTTAATTTTTATGTGTAATGTGAAGAGTTCCATTCAGTTTTTGCATGTTTATATCCAGTTTTTCCAGAACCATTTGTTTTAAACAATTTTATTTTTTTAATGAAATACCTTGACACTTTTATAAAAAATTAACCATAAATGTGAAGGTTTATGTCCTATCTCTCAATTTTGTTCCAGTGATCTATACAGCTATACTTGCACAAATACCATACTGTCTTTTTAACTATATTCTTGACACATAATAGGTGCTCAAAATTTTAGTTAAATTGAAATTGACTCTGCCAGGAAAATGTTGCAGGGAAGAGAACACTTACTCTGCTGCAGTGGGTGAATCACTGGAGTTACCTGGTAGCACTGAGGGTCCTTGGGTGTTGTGTGACAATCATAAGTGTGGATGACAGAAGATTTATGTATATATACATATGCATATAGATACAGGGATGTGTCATGTGTGTATATACATTTTAAAGGTTCTGACGTCCCTTTAGGTTTTTTATTCCATCTAAAACTTCTTTTAACCAAAAGAATTAAATTTCAGCTGATTCCTCAAGAGAAAGAGAAGGACTCCAAAGGGAAGAAACTACTCTACCTTATGTATGTCACAAACAAACCAAAATATGGCACTCTCATTTTCTTCTAAATCCTTGGATCATATCACTCTGAAACTATTCTAAACATTTAGTGGAAATTACCAGTGTTTATGCTTTTAACCTTAATTTCTGGATTCCAGCCTGTATATAAGTCTTTGTGGAGGAGGGGTAACTTTGACAATACGACTTTTAAATTTGCATATTCTGAGGTAAATCATGCAGTCTGTACTCAAAAATAACTTTTCCAGAGGTTTTGAACTTAAGGCAAGTTGTTCTTTTATTTTTTCTGTTTCTCATACATAACTCAGTTATCTTTTGTGGCTGTAATAGATGTTTTTGTATTTTCTCTTCTGACTTAGTGTTTAATAATTGGGAGCTTATAAAATTAAATGAAAAGTTCTGATTTGATTATTTGGACAGAAAATTGACATTGAATTGCCTAGACTTATTAAAGAATATGTGTTCTTACACATGCTGCATTTTTGTCTTTTTTCTTTTGAGGTGTGCGTGTTGTGAGAGGTGGGGTGGTACGTGGTTTATTTATTTTTGTTTCATTTCTCTAGTTTCCTATCAAGGTGTCTTTTAACTTCTGTCCTTAGGCTGAAAAGAAAGTTTATGCCTCACTAAAGAAAAAACATCAAGGACAAAATTTAGGATAAGCATGCTGGTAAATAATGGTAGTAGCCATCAAAAAATAGAAGACAAAAAGACTGGAGCTGCAGTCTTTAAAGTAGTGAAATCCAGAGGCTGATTTGTTGCCATCATTATGCTATACCTGAGTTTCCCAGTAGCTCAGCCGTAAAGAATCTGCCTGCAGTGTGGGAGAGGCAGGTTTGATCCCGGGTCAGGAAGATCCCCTGGAGTGGGAAATGGCAACTCACTCCAGTATTCTTGCCTGAAAATCCCATGGACAGAGGAACCTGGTATGCTAAAGTCCATGGGGTCACAAAAAAGACACAATTTAGCAACTAAACAACAACAAATGCTGTACCTTCCATAGAAGCTCAGCAGTATTTTAAGCATTGTGGTATTCATTGCTTTGAAATGAAATGTTATCAGAATATACTGGAAGTATTTTATGAAGCAGATTTAGAGTTCTATCTATACCACTTAGCAGAAGAATCACTCAGGGCAAGTTAAACTTCTTGTGATCATGATTATTTTCTGGGGAAGTTATTCTTGCTCTATCAGTTTCTTAATGATGTTAATGAGATTCAAATAAAGGGATGTTTCTGTAAGTGTTTTGAAATATAAAGTGCTCTACAAGCATTTTAAATATCATTTGTGTATATTAAGCACTGATACATAAGTTTTTTTTCTTTCAAACTCTTTCTAAGATAATGTGAAAGGAAGTGGATGGACAGTCATAGAACTGTTGGGTCATTTGCTCAACAAATACAATTGAAATGGGTAAAATAGGGAATATTAAAGCTCAAGAATGTGGGACATAGGGAAAACCTATAAGAGAGAAAGGAGCATTTCTTCAGTCTGTCTTATGACAGGAAAGGAAATGATACTTTTCTTGGAGAACATATAAAATCTGTAATTTTACATAGTTGAGTAGATTGTGATAAAAGCATCTCTTTGTCATTCATGTGTAAAATATATGTAAAAATTGCTTTCAGATGTACTGTAAAACTTTGAGTAATACAAGGCTAGAGTAGTTAGGGCAGTGTAGTATGGCATAAGGGTAGACATGTAGGTTAACAGAGTAAAGTTGAGTCTAGAAAGAAGCTTTAATATTTATGTTGAATTAATTTTGAACAAGAATGTCAAGATAAGTTCAATGGGAAAATAATAATCTTCTTAACAAATAATGCTAGGTAGCCACATGCAAAAGAAAGAATTTGGACCCCTTCTTCATATCATACACAACAAATAACTCAGATTAGAAACTTAAATGTAAGAGCTAAAGTTATAAAACTCTTAGAAGAAAATATAGAAGTAAATCTTGGTGACCCTGAGTTAGGCAGTGATTTCTTGGATAAATTGGACTTTGTCAAAAGTAAAACTTTTGTGATACCAAGGATACTTTTCACATCAAGAATGTGAAAAGACAAGCCACAGAATGGAAGAAAGTATGTGCACGTCATGTTGTTTCTAGAATATATAAAGAACTCCTACAGCTCAGAAATAAAAAGTGACCCAGTTAACCCTTGGGCAAAATATCTGAATAAACATTTTTCCAAAAAGTTATTCAAATGTCCAGTAAGCACATGAAAAGATACTTAGCATGGTTAGCCATCAGAGAAATACAGTTCAGAACAACAATGAATCTCATTCACACACATTTCACACTCACTGTAGTATTTATAATTTAAAGAGATGCCTAATAGCAGGTGTTGGTGAGAATGTGGTGAAATTAGAACCCTCATACACTAGTACACTGATAGGCTGTAAAATAGTACAGTCACTTTGGAAAACTATTTGGCAGTTTTTCAGATGGTTACACAGAGTTACCATATGTCCCAGAAAATCTACTTCTAGATATATACCTGGATATATAAGAGATCTGAAAACATGTCCACACAAAAACTTGTTGCATGAATGTTTATAGCAGCAAAATTCACAGTAGCCAAAAGAAGGAATGGTTCCAATGCCCATCAACTGATGAATGGAGAAATAAAATATGATGTATCAATTAACGGGATATTATTTGGCAGTAAGGAATGAAGTGCTGATAGATGCTATAATATGGATGAACCTTGAAAACATTTTGCTAAGTGAAAGAAGTCAGTCACAAAAGACCTTATTCTATTTGATTCCATTTATATCAGATATCCAGAATAGCCAAATCTTTACAGACAGAAAGTAGATCAGTGTTGCTTAGAGAACAACTGAGGGGGACAGAGATTAGGAGAGAATGGGAGATGATGCTAGTAAATTATGGGTTTCTTTTTGGATGAAACTTTTTGAATGAGTTATGGCTGTACAACTCTATGAGTATATTAAAAAAATAATTGTGCTAATTAAATGAATAAATGTATGGTACATGGATAAAAATAATTTAAAAATAAGGCAATACCCAACTCAAAAAATGTAAAGAAAAGGACATTTGCATATGTGTTTCTGCTGATTATCACCTGAAGAGAGAGAACAATCAGATGGTTGATTGTCTCTTAATTATAATTTTTCTTTCATTCCCTATCCTTCTAGTGGCCAATTAGGTTTATTAAATGCGTGCACTTTTGTGTTGATTGATAGTGAATCTTAATTCATTTTTGACAGGAATTGAGTTCTTCTCAGACTTTGTCACATGATGGAGGATTCTTCAATAGACTGGAAGATGATGTTCATAAAATTCTAACTAGAGAAAAAAGAAGAGAACAGCTTACAGAATATAATGGAACAGATAATTACACAGCTCATGAACACAACCAGGCATGTAAAATAGAAAATTCTCTTAAAATCACAGTGAATTTTTTTTTCATTTTTTTAAAAATGTAAACAGTGGAATTCAATTATGATTGTATAGAACTATAGTTTTAGTGTATTATCTTAGTCATTATTACACATTTATATTAAAAAGTGTGAGCTACTTTATTAATTGGTTAATATTTATTGAGCATGTACTATAGTGCTTGGTATTGTTCGGCATCAATATTGGGGAGTGGGACTATCAAGATGGTTAAGATCATCCTTGACTTGGACACTCAGGGTAGTTGGGGATAGGGGGAAGTAGACTGTAAAGAGAATATCACTCAGCATGATGAAGGATTTAAGAGAGAGATGGACAATTAAAAAGTTTTTAAATAGAAAAGGTAATAGACCACTCCTTGGAATTGGGAAAGGTATATAAAGAAGTAACATTTGCAATGGATTTTGAATGCAAATAACTGTATAAACTGAGAAATAGAGAAAAACCTAAGGGAACTGCAAGAGCAATGGCCCAGAGCTATGAAAAGCCTTTAGACTGAATATTCAGGAAACTGAAAAATTATGCATCTAAGAAGTAAAGACTTAAGTGAGTGTGGGATAACATGATTAGAGAAATAGATTGGAATTAGGTTATAAAGGTCTTTTAATGTGAAAATAAGAAGTTAAAATTTTGTCCTGCAGACCAGGGGTTGCAAACTATATAGTTGGTCTGCAGTCTGTTTTTGTAAGGCTCACAAGCTAAGAATGGTACTCAATTTTAAAATACTGTTTGGAAAAATACAGGAAAAAACCCAAAAGATATTATCATATAGAGACCTCTGAGTTTGCATTTAATTTTCCTACCATAAACCACCAGTCTTCTGTTTTACTTCCTCTTAAACTATGAATCTGTTTTTTACCTTCTGTTGACCTCTAGTCTATCAATAACTGTCCTCTCAGCCTGGAGCGAGTAATAAGTAATTTCAGTCATGTCCCCATGAACACTTCCCCTTACTTCCTTGATTTTCTGGCATTCCTGTCATGTCAGTATGCAGCATTTGCTCTTGCAGTACTGTCTGCCTTCTCTATTACAATTTAATTTTTGTTTAACCAGGTATTGCTGGACAATACTCCTTCCCGTTTATATTCTCTTCTGAAAATCAGTGCTGTGTAACTTTTACCATATCCTCATTTCTACTTAATGGTGGTTTGATTCATTTTTTTTTTACTTTAATAAATTCCTTCCAGTGGCTATTTCAAATTGAAAAGCCCATTTTCCATCCTTTTACTGTCTTCAGTGGATGTTAGTTTTTTGTTTCCTCTGATAAATTCAGTTATTCAACAAATTAAACACTTAAACTGTGTTGTTATATAGGACACACAAACGGAGCCAGACTCTTAAGAATTTTTTATTTCAATGCAGCAATAATATCGCCTTATAAAAACACTTATCACATGAAAATTTATTTTCAGCTTAGTATGGGACATCCTTGCCTGCCATCAGATACTTGTGAGCTTCTTCCTTTCTAGCACTGAATTAAATTTGGTGTTTTCCTGAGTTGCCTTGACTGTCAAATTTTGCGTACAATGCAAGCAGCCATGTTAACATTTATAGGTAGTGTATTTGTTTCCTCTTTTTACATTGATTTTTATTTTCCCCTTTGTGGTTTATATCTTATTCTTTAAGCCATCTCAGATCATGGTAAGAATCATATTAATATACTTGAGCAAGTAATTAGGTGTTTCAGATCTTTTGTAGAGCAAAGCTGGGTACACATAAGTGAAATTATTAATTAATGTTAATGATATTTTAAAGTCAAAGTGATAGTGCAGTGTAGTAGAAAGAGAATAATCTCTGAAATCAAACAAGCCCAATAACACAAAATACAGCACTGTAGTTTATCAGCTCTGTTATGTTGGAATGAAATTACCTGCCTTTCATGCACTGTTATTATGAAAGTTAGCAATTATGGTGTAAAATATTAGAGCATTTATACACAGCATATGCTTAATAGATCATTGTTTTTGTACACGGTAGGAGAAGTGGAAAGTCCAAAAAAAGGTAATTCATAGGGATGGAGATAAGAGATGGCTTTCTTAAGAGAAAATAATTTTTGAATTGGAATTTAAGAGAGTAGAATTTGAACATGTGGAGGTGACGGAGGAGAAGCTGGAATGCCATGAATAAAAGGATGGAGGCAGTAAAGTATAAACCAGTTTAAGACAATATTCATTGAGGAGTATAGTGTAAGTTTGGCACAGTGGGTTTGGAAGGGTTGTAGAGGACTTAAAAGCTTGATTTATGATTTAGTCAGGAGATGAAAAAGAATAATTTTTTAAAGTTATTGAGCAGAAGACAAAGTTCTACATGGTAATATTAATTTCACTGCAGTGCCTAGGAATAACTGAAGGAAGGTGAAGACTAGAGATGGGAATCAGACAGTGGGCAGTATGGGGAGGATGTAGAAGAGCAAGAACAGGTGACTGGTAGTAATGTCACTTGGTGTAGCCGTTTTGGAGAACAATGTGGCATTAACTTCTACAGTTGAAGATAATGGGTAGATTGTGTTCTAGAAATTCTGCCTTAGATTAAACCCTGGAGACATCTTCAAGAGGAATGATTCAAGCTCAGTTGTTTGTGACAACAAAGTCAGTAGAAGAAATGAATGAATTATAGCAATACATAACAGCATGGATGAATAACAAAAACATAGTCTTTAATGAAATAAGCAAGTCACCAAATAGTAATAGTTTGATGCAGTTTATATAAATTCCAAAAAATAGAAAGTTTAACTGATTGCTCAGGGATACATCTGTATGTTGTAAAAGACTATTAATAAGGAAGAGAGTGACAAACACAAATTCGTAATAGTGGATATTCTCAGGAATGGGGGGAAAGGATACGATTGGGGAGAGAAATGTGGGGATGCCTAAATATTGGTAATGTTCACATAATCTGCATATTGGTTTATTTTTCTTTTTACTTGCCATGTCAATTTATATATTCTTTTGCACATGTAAAATTTTTCATAAGTAAGAAAGTTGAGTATTTTGTCATGTCATTGAGTGTAGTTGGGGAAAAGGGAATATTGAGGCAATTAAAAAATATTTTCTTTTTATCTACCTCCTTCCTCTCCTCCTCACACTCCTTTTTCAGGGAAAACTTTTTTGCAAATGTTAAAATCATTTTAAAATGTGTGTTAGTGTACCAGAAATTTTTAAAGGTGAAAAATACATCCACACTAATTCAGTCAGTCTTCAACATTTTATTTCATTTTTGTATAGTACTTTTACAGGAAAATATGCATAGGTATTTTAAAAATAACTAAGAATAAGGAATATAGTTTCTGTAGCCCCTTTTCTAAACTGTAGTTACATTCTGTCAAGTCAACATTCTGTAATTGTTCATTACTCAGTATTTTTTTAAACTATTTTCTTAAAAAAAAAACTATTTTCTGTAAGTTTTTTAAAAAGTTTATTGTTTTATTTATTTTGGCTCTGCTGGGTCTTTGTTACTGCACATATGTGCTTTCTCTAGTTGCAATGAGTGGGGTTTACTTTATAACCCCTGTGATGCTCGGGCTTCTCATTGTGGTTGTTTTTCTTCTGCAGGGCACAGGCTCTAGGTACTTGGGCTTGGTAGTTGTGACTCCCGGGCCCTAGGGCACAAGCTCAATAGTTGCGGCACACTGGTTTGGTTGTTCCAAGGCATATGAGATCTTCCCAGACCAGAGATCAAACCTATGTCCCCTGCATTGGCAGGCAGATTCTTAATCACTGGACCAGCAGGGAAGCCCTATTACCCTATTATTGAACATCTAGGTTGTTTAGAATTGGTCACCTGGTATTCATTTAATATATTCATCTATTTACTTTTTTGATGAATTTGTCCTTTGAATAAATGCATTCTTAAAAATAGTAATTGCATCAAAGCATGTAAACACCTGTATTGCTCTTTATATGTATCAACATTGTCTCCTGGCAGCAGGATATGAAGTTACTAACTTCTCCACAGCTTCACTGTGTGTGTGTGTGTGTGTGTGTGTGCACATGTGTGTGTGCGCGTGTGTGTGTGTGTGTGCGCACGCGCACGCATGCATGCTGAGTCACTTCAGTCATGTCTGACTTTGCTACCCCATGGACTGTAGCCCATCAGGCTCCTCTGTCCATGGGATTCTCCAGGCAAGAATACTGAAGTGTGGGTAGCCAATCCCTTCTCCAGGGGATCTCCCCGACCCAGGGATTGAACCCAGGTCTCCTGCATTGCAGGTGGACTCTACCATCTGAGCCACCAGGGAAGCCCACAGCTTCACTGGCAGTCCCTCTAATGGTCTTTCGGGCTCTGTTTTATTAACTGCCTTTGTAGTGTATTTCACTCTCTTGTTCTATGAATACCTTAGGCTCACTATGCTGAAACCTAAGGTCATCATTTACTTTCCAAACCAAGCATTCATCTTGACTTCATCATTTCTGTTTGGGGTTTTGTCATTTTATCCAGATATTCCGACTGTGAATCTCCCTTTTCACTTTTCTGTTTCTCAAAGTTTGGGAATTTTTAATCTCTGAAATAGTTCTCAGATATATCTTCTCTTCCACTTTAACATTTCTCTAATTTAGAATCTCATTATCTCTTACTGGTATTATTTCAGTAACCTAATAAGACTTCCTGCCTCCTGCCTTCTAATTCTAGGTAATTTATCTTATTCACTGTTAATAAATGACTTTTTAAAGAGTGAGACTTCCATCCTGCCACACTATGTCCTTAAGCTTCAGTGTCTGTTGAATCATTTACTAAAGCCCTCAAGCTTTTCAAATGAAGAGTCCCAATCCATTTAACCAGTCCTAAAATAAATTTAGTAGGTTGCTACCAGCACTCTCAAAAAAAAAGTTATCAGCATATATGACATCTTTTCATATTTTATGAAATTTGTTTCAGTGTATATATGTTTATATACATAAATGCAAATATATATACATATACTGACATGTTTATGTATTGAGTCATGATGCAAAACATTCCTTAA